GGGGAAGAGGGGTACAAGTGTGTTTGTAGTGTGCGCGTGTGTTCGCATATCGCTACCTCAGAATTACAAAGTTCTATCTGCTAAGTACCTAGTTTTGAGAAAATTTTACGTCAAAGAGTTTGAGTTTCACATCATGTCAAGCTTTTTCGAATGCAATTCTATGAATATCTTGATAACTACTCCGAATAATCCCACGAATTCGATAGAACAGGTAGAACATATAGTCTTCTTATCTCATGGTCTTAGTAACTCTAAACGGCTAAAAATGTCATAACTTTACTGAGGTAGCGATGTTACAAACTGAACTGACCGAGGAGGGGGAGGGGGAGGGGGGGGGGGGGGGCGGGGGGGGGGGGGGGGGGGGGGGGGTGAATGTGTGCGAATGAGTGTGTGCAAGAGAGCTGGGGTGTGTGTGTGTGTGCAGGGGGTGGGGTGGGCTTGCAGTAAGTGTGTGTCTGGGTGCTAATGTCACTGTGCGTATGGTGAGGTATAGGTCAGTTGGTGACCTCACTATGTTACTTCTATGCCCTAACCCATGTCCGTTTTAGTTTTAGCAAGAGTTTTACGGCATTTGCAACACAATAAGGTCATATAAGTGTAGAACAATAGAGGTGTTTCCAGAGAGTAACAAACACAGAAAAGGAGGAGAGATCAGGACGATAGATGTTTGATAGGAAAGAACCTGCCAACCACCCTCACTTTTTTACCCTCTTCAAAAAGCCACAATGTGAAACCATATCGAAATTATTCAGATCATTTAGGAGACGAGCTGCTCTGAGCTTGCCTGTCAGGGCCAACCCGGGCTGAGATGGACAGAACGTTCCAGCAGACGTCGAAGATACTCGTTCCAAAAAAAAAATTTTAAACTCCACACACTGGAATCGAACTCACCTCTTCTGCATGCAACAGCGAAGCACCTTACTGCGAAACCATAGACAGTCACAATAGACTGGGTGAGGGGGGGGGGGGGCCGCGCAACAGAAAAAAAAAACAGAAAAAGCCGGAAAAAACAACCAAAATTAAATCCCACACAATTCTCGTTTTCACTTTTCTACCCATTTCTAATGACTGTCCCTCTGGTTCTTAATATAAAGAAAATATTCCCACCTACCACATACACGCTGCACGTGCAAACACACGTATTGTCTGTTTGCTTGTCCGCCTGTTTTTCCGCCTGTCTGTTTGTCTGTCTGTCTGTCTGTCTGTCTGTCTGTCTGTCTGTCTGTCTGTCTGTCTGT